CGTTCTGAAGTGAGCAGAAACTAAGCCAGACAAACGTGATAAAGATCTGACCCCAAAATAGTGTTATCCTAACCCACCAGTGCATTAAAGGACCAGCTAAAAATCAGTCAAGGACTGTACAGAGCTACACAATGAACCTCACCTCGACTTCAGACCTGGAAACAAGACTGTTCTGCAGCAGAAAGCCTTTATGAGCAGGACAGCTCCTTGGAAACAAAATATCCACATATTAACAGGGATCCACAAAGGATTACAAAGTACTCTTTCCAGGTTGACAGTTGCTAGTGTTTTAACTAAGGCACATGGTACGCATCCCTCTGTTCCACCACACACAAACAGCTCCCAGAGCCTCTGCCAGGCGATGCCGGCTCTTCAGGGCTGCAGCACCCTGAAACGCTCCTCAAACGCTCTAAACTGAGACCTTCACTCTACTGCTAGTAATTTAATGCTCCTTCAAATTACTGTGATGGAATCTTGATAATTGTGAAGACCACAACCGCCTCACGGCTGAGACAGTTTGCCCTATGTGGTGGCACAACACAGCGTGATCTTCAATTAATATATTATGGCTTTTTTTTTTTATAAATGCCTAACATCAGACATCCTTTCCCACTGACATGGGAAAAGGTAAAATCCTTTTGTCCAGAGACTCAGTGAATTGCAGGGAACACAGACAAGTAACTGCAAAGTGTGAGAATATTTTAGATGATGACAATGCAAAACCCCCAAATGCTACAGGAACTAGTGGAGTGTGGCTCATTAGCACTACAGAGGGCAAAACGAGAGCTGAAACTGTAAATTGGTTCTCCAGGCACCCTCACCTTTTTTCAAAAAGCAAGCATACCTGAAGAAAGGAAAACAAAAGCTGCTACTTCAGCTTTGTGAAAGGCTTAATGTAACACCTAAATTCTTCAGAGAACGGTGGTGGCCAAAGAAATTAAAATAAAGCTTCCAATTCAATATATTTAGCACAGATGTTCAGGTATTTCTCATAAATTAGGCTTTCCCCTTCCAAGCAAATTCTGCTGGGTACACCGTGATCCTCTGTTTGAGTGGAAATTGCATTTGCTCAGAAAATGGAGCAGCCAATACACCACTCCCATAATCTGTGAAACTGCATTGGTAAAGTCAGAGAAGAGAAAGTTAATTTGTGGATGAGTCCTATCTATCAAACCTCCAGTGAGAAAACAAGACACAAGTGGAAAACTGATGCCGTTGTTTGCCATTTAAATATAGTTTTTATTAAAATACAGCACCTTTCTCACGACACTTCTGCTACTGCTGTAACATCTGCAGATAACAGAGATTTTATTTGGTTTAGATTCATCCAAGCAGCTCACAACAACTTACAGCCAAATAAAGTTTGTCAGTTACGACAAAAAACTGCCCGAGTGGAAACTCAGCATCTTCAGGAAGAAAACTGAACTCCTTCAGTTATGGCTAGACCAAAGTTAAGGGGTGATGGGTAGAAATCCTGGCTGCATCACATGTGGCCCAGCAGGCACTCTGAAGCCATTTCCATCCTGTCTGCTGTGCTTTCCTGCAAAGCTGCAGAGCTCAGAGCAGCAACAGGCCCGTGCTGAGGACTCTGCTTTATGAGCAGCTGCCGCCAAAGAGCAGACAGGAAGCAAAGCTGCACTCGAACGAGATGCAGAACGGGATTATGAAGGGGAGGGGAAGTAAAGCAACTTCACAGACTTCAGCAGTGACTGGTATTTAAGCAGCAAAAAAAGAATATCTGAGAACTAATGTTCTTTCAAGTAAGAAAGAGCAGAGCTATATAAACATCTTGAATAACAAATGAAAACCCAGGGCATTGATCTTATTGTAAGAAGTGCACAAAGTGAATCATGCAAAGAAAGTTGTTCACACGGCTTTTAATAAAACAAAAGGACTTTGAATAAAATTAGATTTTATGAAGCACTGAAGTCCACACACACAGAGCTCAGCCTGAAGTTCATATGGCATCAGTATAAAACTGAAATAAAAATTAAAGAACTTCATTAACCACAATAAAATGAGCCTAAGTAATTAACGATACTGGAGATCCGAGGTGAAAATACAGCTCCCCTTTTAATTGAAGGGTTTCATTATGTAAGATTTCAGGCAACACATTAGACTAATACCCTGTCTACTTCTGAATTTCTTAACAACACCTATTCACTTATTCTTTAAAAAAAAAAAAACAAACAACAAACAAAAAAGCCCCTGGACAGTAGCTGACAACACAAGGGATCGTGAAGCCTCAGTCCTCCAGAAATGGGACACCCACGGAATCTGACACACCCCCCACACCCCACAATCACAATGAAATACTATGTTCTATCATTTTTACGATCTAGGGAACTATTCTTAGTGCTGTTTTCTCTTTTGTTATGACAAACCTGAAAAATTGCTCAAATACACAATTAAATTTGCTGCAGGTCAAAGCACAGAATGTTAAAGCTATCTAAAAAAATGTTAAACTTGGGTTTAAAATGAGTAGAAACATTAAGTGAACACTTTGCTATCCAATTCTTGGATTAATGAAGACAGGGTATCCACCAGAGGCCTACCCACCCATTGTGAACATCAGATGCATCAAATTAAAAGGCAAATTAAGCATACAAAAAACCCCCTCAGTTAAGAAATACCAGACTGAAAAACCTCAAGCCTATGAAGTATGTATTTTCAGAATTCCAACTTTCACAAGGGTGTTGTTCTTTCTAAAATTCAATCATTTAGGCAGCAATTCCAGCTGATGCTGCACTGGTAGCTTTGTCAATGTGTGTACAAAACTGCTTAGGTACAATAGTGACATACTTTAAATCTGGATAAACTATTTTAGGCCATCATTTGCTTAGCCAAACACTGAAGCAGAATTCCAGAATAAAAAATATTCTGGTGTTGGTAAGTTTATCTACATTCTAGATCTCAAACTAATGCCTAAGATAATAATTAACTGACAGCTCCCCCCCATAGCCTTTTTTTATTCATATAATTAAAAACATGCCTTGCTGGCATAAATCCAGTGATGAACAAACACACATTATGCACTGCCTCAAGAATCAAAGCTCATAAAACAATGCTGCACAGAGCTACACAAAATCACATGGTTTTAAGGGACTGCTGAAGCCTATGAAAGAAATTCTTAATAAAGCCCAATGACAAAAATCCAGAGACCAAAATCTGAGCCAATCCCTATGAAACACTCGGCTGTTTCTGTTGATAAGGTAGGGAACCCTCTCCCGTTCTGCTCCAATCGTGGGAGTGGCTCACTTGCAGAGGAGTTCAGTTCTGTGCAGAGCCAGCCTGCACTCGTGTGAGATTCACCCAGGAAGGTCTGATTACAAGTGGGAATCGGTGATTTGTTCATACCAGGGTACAACATCACTCCCATTTATCAGTTTGTCCACCTCCAGCCTCATTCAGGACATTTCTTCTAAACATGTTAGTGAGGCACTCTAGAATTTACTGTAAACACACATAAAAGAGGGAGTGGCATTCACTAATGAGGCTCAGGTTCTATTTTAATACACAGCGTATCTACCACGCTCTTACATGATTAAGACAACACAAGAAAATGGATGAAGTAGTTCAGTACTTTAAGGATTCATTCAGAGAAAACAAAGTTAAAAAAATCATAGGAGTAAATAAAATTACTTTTGAACTGGCAAGAAGAGAGACTTCAGTCTTCTTACACATTACAAGAAAAATTCCTCATTCAATTGTAAGCCAGAATCAATATTTTTCAGTAAGAGCCAGATTCAATTCAGGTTCCTTAGCAAAGCAGTCAGTACCCAGACAGCCAGCTTCACTCCTTCTCCCCCCAATCTGTCAAACTTCTGTAAGCCTCACAGGACTAAATGGAAAACAATTTTTTCCAAAAAAACTCATTAACTTGAATTCCAAATACCATAACTGCCCTCAGGAATTTTTTTTTCTTCCAATCAAGTTTTCCCACTATAGGAAATATTTATCTTCCACCCAGAAGCATTTAAAAGACCCAATATGCCATTAAACCTGAATAGGCTTCAAGTATTTCCTCCAGCCTGGTAGGTTTGGTAGCATTAGCTGTTTCTCGTTATAAGGGTAGGTAAAAAAAATTCAGGCAAATGAAGAATTTTGTAGTCCTTTAGAAGTCTTTTAAATCAAAAAGTTATACAGAAATTAGCCTGAAACAGAAAAGCTATGAGGGCTTAAGTGCTGGTCCAAACCCCCTGAGGTCTGCAGAAAGTCCCCTATTGAATTCAGTGAACTTTGGATCAGTCCCAAAGCACCTACAGTAGCTTGGATAAGAGACAGTGTCTACTTTTTAAAGCTGTGTTTTTCCTGTAAAACAAAACCAGCTGTAAGTGATTTCAGTAACTTTATTCTGATGAGACTAAGCAGGGTTTCCGACTTCAAATCTAACACAGCTTCCCAGTAACCATCACTGTCACTAGGGAATTCTAGCTTTCAATAGCAGTCTATGGGACAACCACCCCAGAAAAAAGAGATTCAGAAATCAATTCTGAAAGCGATGCTGCTTCTGTGTCAGAGCTCAAGGTGGAACTGAGAAGAAGATTCATTCCACTGAGAGCACACTGACTGCTTGCTTTATCAACAGGCAGCCAAAGACACAGTGGAATAACCTGCTGAAAGTGCAAATTTTCATTAGTCTACCACAATTCATTGGACAAAGCCTAATTTCTGAATCACTTTAGAAGCACCTCCACAATACCAAATTTAAATTGTTCCCCGAAATTTTATCACAGCACGGCAGCAGAACTAAAGTTCTGTTGTTCAAAATAATAAAAAGCCACCAGTACTGCCCCCATTTCCCTGTAGAAACATTAAGACGCTTTAAGCCAAAGGGATACCAGGTTTTATCCTGCCAGCTTTCACTTGCACTCGTGTCACCACCTACCTGCGAGGAGACGGGAAACACCAGAGATCACGCACAACACTCGCGGTCCACACTCACATCATCGCGAGCACAGCATAAAAATGTCCCTCAGTCACAACAATTTCCTTCTTACCTTGCCTCCTTCTCTTTCAAAGTCGACATATTCCCGGGTCGGTGTCTGTCGCTGCTCCCCCTGCCAGTTGGCCGGAAAAAACTGGAGAGACAGATTGGTTCCTGTGGCCACAAAAGCCTTTTAGAAAAATCAATACAAACAGGATCAGGGAGCAAGACATTACATAAATTATGCAGGCAGTCATTTATTTTTACATCAGTTTATGTCTTAAGCCAGGCAGCATAGAGAATACTTAAAGTCAAAAACATGCACTCATCATTTTTCTTAAGTATTAAGTTACAAACATCTGATTCCATTTTGACAACATTTGCCATTGGCTGCTTCGGATATAAAATACAACATGGAATCAATACTTCTTTCAAATCAGTTTTGCTGACATTAGAATCTGTCCTTTCAGTTCTGTCTGGATAGCCTGCACCAACTTAGTGCCTGCAACCTTAAAAACTGCCCATGATTTCGAAGAGGCTGCATATCTCTAAAAGAAGTACTGCTGAAGGAAAATTAACTCCTGAGACCTGATACTAAGGACAACTATTTTCAAAAGAAAATTACTTGTCTCCTTTCACATCCTACTTGTACCTAGAAAAGCACTTGACTGAAAGGTAAATACTCCTATTTTATCATCTCCTGGCACGCAGCATCAATGCACGGCTCAATCAAACCCCACAGGACAAAGTCCTCGTGCCACACTGAGGCACCCGTGAAATCCAGATCAGCAGATGCTGTCAGTGAGAACAGGCAACTGCAGGAATTCTCAGCTGCAGCCCTTTGTAAAATCATTAAAGGGACTGACTAAACCATTTTAGAAAAAGCATACATTGCTTTCAAGAAAATAATTTTCTACGATTTCAAATGAAAATAGGCTTCAGTTTTCTTTATAATTCTCTGTATTTATTTGCATATCTTAATTCCAAGCCACAAAGAGCACATCAATTTATAGACATGAAATAAAAAATTATTTTTGCAAGCAGAAGTTGGATTTGCAGTATTTATGCTCTTCTCTGGTACAGGTGAGCACATTGTCCCTTAAGAACCCGAATACTCGCACATGCTCCCAGAATACCACTCTACTCAAAATCCCAGGGTTAAATGTAATTTGTTGCAATCAAACAACTGTATTGATTACCATGATCACTTAGATTTAAATGGTCATTAATCTAGAATATAGTTTTTCTTAAAAGCTATACAACTACTACTCTAATAGTTGGAATTTCCTGAGAAGCCAGATTTCTTTCAAGCAGCCCAGAATTCAGGAACTTTACGGCATAACTGTACTGCTGCCTGTGACACAATAGCTCTACATGTTGTTTAAGACAGTTCCAGTCACGGACTGCAATGCTGTCTGTCACAGGATTAATACCTCCCATTTTGAAAGTAGCAGTGCTTTGTCTTGACTCTGTCCCCTCTGCCAAGGGAGGCTGATGCTCTGCAATCAGGTTCCATTCCAGGCTATCCTTAATAACAGATTTTGTAAGTTTTCTGTGCTTGTTTGGTTTTTTTTTTGTTTTAAACCTCCTGTAAGCATTTTCTCAATGTCATTAAAATTAACAAATCGGTCCTGGGAATACCAGGGGGAATACTGTATTGGTACATTAATATTTGCTTGCCCTACAATACTCAAAGACAAACATTTCAATCACTGAAACAGAAGCTTCATCAAAGATACACTTGCATAACTAGGAAGCATCAGAACTGCCAGGGCTGCAGACCATCACTATCAGGCTGACTACCTTGTATTGTCCCTTGGCTTCTCTAAGGGATTCTATTTACGTACCAACAGAGTATTATCTCCAAACATGTGTGACTGCAACTCTTCACTGCTCAGTCTGTTCAAGAACTTCCTACCTCTGAGCATCTTTAGCAAATACATGTTTTATACTCCTTAATTTATGCACTTAAAATGTGAGATGTTCTGAGTGCAAACCAGCTGAGCACTGCAGCCCTACAGGCCACTCCAGTCCTGGTGCTGGGTCAGAAAGACTATCCTTGCCTTCTGGGAAACCCAGCAAAGTGCCCATGCCTCCCTGCTCCCACCCCCTGTGTGTGCCAGAGGGCCATGAAAAACAAATTGCACATCCTCGTGGAGTCATGCAGGCAACATTTAAACCACAGGGTACTTAAAAAGCTATGTAGATATTTTCTCCTCTGGATTTTTGAAGCCTGTTCCCTCCATCTGAACAGATAAAACCACCCAGTTAAAATACTCATGGGCTTCTCAAATCAGATCATAGGCCTGTACTGAAAAACTTGAGAACATGCTCGCTTATAACCGCACAGGACTACATGGAACCCAACATTTTTCGAGTAACAAGCAAATTAAACTGAAACAAAACAAAAAAAGTCACACCACTAGTTCAGTTCTAAACCTGAAAGCAAAAAAATGATAATTTTCTATGCAGAGCCTTTTAAAGTCCAGTTTGAAAAGCTATCAGACATTTAATTCCCTAATTTTGCAAAAAGCTTATCAGGTAGTACAGGGGTGACCTGACCCACATGTAGGCAACGTAAATACGAGTACCTTCCAAGACAAACCAAACACGTGAAGGTATTTTCAAGTTATCAAAGCATTACCAGTAATCGTGAACCCTTAATTAATATATTTCACAGTTACTTCTCAGTAATACTGGTAATTCCTTTTTTTATTCACTCAAGAGCTATTTGACAGACGTAACCAGCAACGCATTGCCGGTTCTGCATTAAATCCCCAAGCTGTTCTCTGGGGTTTTTTTTTTGTCTGCTTAAAAATATGTAAGGTCATTTGCAAAGGCTCCCTTCGGAGATAAAAGAATAAATCCTTGATGTCTGGAAAAACATTCAAGACTAAAAAAAAAAAAGTAAAATTACTAGCTCTTTTTAACATCAGTCATTACACACATTACATTTCTAAATAAACCTGACTACTTGTGCCCTGTTCGCAAAACAAAACCAGATGTTTCAGATCAAGAAATATAGAGCCTGTTTTATAATTAAGTAGAAGGGAAAATATGTAGAACGGGCATCACTGGTTGCTTCCAAGGGCTGAAGTTCTGGTAAAAAAAGACAGCAGCAGGCTTAGAAGTACAAAGGTGAAACTACAGTGATCTCCTATTTATACAAATAGCTGCATAGGCTGCATTAGCAAGCTGGTTTATAAGCTATATGGTTTTTTGGTGTTTTTTTTAGGGAGGGATTAGAGTATATTCTACACTTTCACCTGCACAGGAATTTCCAGTGCTAGCCAACTACGTCTTCCTTACCTACCCATTGTTTCCCTGGTGAGTTTTTAAAGGAAGCAAACATGCACAATGAAAAATGAAGGTAAAACAAACAGTAAAATTAAGAACCTGTCTACAGAGGGCTCTCCCAAGATAACATTACAGGTTCTAAGACCAGCGGTAACAAGCAGGGTTAAGATTCAGCTAAAATAGAGTTACTCAGTAAAAGGTAATCATGTTCTTCAGTGTGTACCCTTTTACTGACAAATGTAAGCAAGATCAGCTAAAGTAACGGGTATTCAACTCTTTTTGTTTGGATGTCCACAAGAGTAATTTCACTGTGCGTAAGAATAATTTCATTGTGAACTGACAAGTAATATATATATATATACACACACCCCGTGAAATGAAAGTATGCTCCTAAACCAAACTTGCTAAAAGTGGGGTTTATTTTCTATTTTACCTTGTCTTTCACTATTTATGTTTTTCACTATATACCATATTTTCTACAGTGGAAGACAGAAGAGGTTACTTCTGCATTTTAATAGTCAAGAGTTACAAACTTAACAATGCTATGAGCTACTGATCCTATAGCAGAAATCAAACCAGGAAATACCGAGTCAGTTCTTGACTACTCCAAGCCATACTTCATCTCACTTCTTAATTCAGAAGAGAGCAGTCTGTTACTAACCTTAATGAATGAGAAAAACGGGGCTGAAGTTGCAAGTTTCAAAGCCTAATTTTAAAAGCATTTGCTTTAGCTCACAAATACATCAAACAGCTCACTCAAGGCTTTTAGACAGCGCCTTCTGAACAATGTTACTCATTTCTGAAGGCTACTGTTTCCGGAAAGGAAAAATGAAGAAAAAAAAAGAGAAAAAAAGCTGAATATTGAAATAAGCGGCTTGTAGCCGTAGCACGTGCCCAGGGAAGGAGCACAGCCCGTCCACACTGCCGGGGGATTTTCCTGCCTTCCCTGTCAGCCCGGCGCTCCAGACGCGCTCTCCGCCCGCCGTGGAGCCGACAGCTCCGAGCGGAGCAGCGCTGCTCCCGGGGCGGACAGGATCGCTGCCTGCCAACGAAACCCGCCTGTCCCACGCTGTTTGAGACGCGGCCGATGTCACTCCGCTCCTGGAGGAAAACTCTAACTCTGCCCCCGGCGCGGCCGCCCAGCCCCGTCCCGTGCCGTGCCGGCCGTGCCGGCCCCGATCCCGACCCCACGGGCCGGCCCCGCGCAGCCCCCGCCCCGAGGGCTCCCGAAACTTTGGGTGAGCCGGGCCGGGCAGCGGAGCGGGGCCCGGGGCAGCGCGGCGCCACTTACGATCTCGGAGCGGCCGTCGCGGCAGGCGTTCTGGAAGCGGGCCTGCCTCTCCTCGTGCGGCCGGTCCCTGAAGCCGGTGTATTTAATCTGCGGGGAACAGGGCGCGCAATCAGAGGGGCCAATCCCGGCGATAAGGGGGCAGCGCGGTGCACTGACTGCGCGTCCCCGCCCGGCTCCGCCGAGCCCCGCGGCTGCCCCGGCCCCTCCGCGGCCCGCGGAAACTTTCCCCGCGGAGGGAGGGAGGGAGGGAAGGGGGAGCCCCGCCGCCGCCTCACCTCGCACTCGCGGCTCAGCTTCCTGAAGAACTCCTCGTTCTCGAACTTGCTCCGCTGGTCGGGGACAACCCGCGGCATGGTGGTGGGGCCGCCGCCGCCGCCGCCGCCGGCTGCCCTCCTTCCTCTCCCTCCCTCCCTCCCGCCCGCCCCGCGCTGTCCCAGCCCCAGCGCTCGCCTCGCCCTTTGTTAGCCCCCGCCGGCGGCTCCCGCTCCCCTCCTCCCGAGCCTCCTCCTCCCGCTCCTGCCGCGGCGCACGCGGAGCAGCCGCAGCCGCCGCCGGAGCCCGAGCCCGAGGCCGCCGCTCCCGCCCCCGCCCGCTCCCTCCCTCCCTCCCTCGCTCCGACTTCCTCCCGCTCCGGACTCGGCCCGAACAGCCGCGCCATTCACAACTCCGCGACAACGCCGCGCATGCGCCCCCGGCCGGGCGGGGGGCGAGGGGCGGCTCGGAGCTCCCTCAGAGCCCCCTCAGAGCCCGGCCCGGGCGGCTCTGCCCCCGCTCTGCCCCCGCTCTGCCCCGGCTCTGCCCCCGCGCCGCTCCCCGGCTCCCTGCCCCGACCGGAGCGGCCCCAGCGCGGCGGCGGCCCCGGGTGCGATGGGGCGCGCCCCTCTCCCGGCGGGCACCCGGCCGGCCCCGCACCTGCCGCGGCGCGGCCCCCCCGCCGCCGGGGTGGCCGTGAGGATGGGGCAGGTGGGGAGGGACAGCGCTGGCCTCGCACCGGCCTCCTCTGGCTCCATCCCCAGGGTCAGCGAGGGCAGCCCCGGGGGCAGCACGAAGCCTGGCGGACCCCCAGGGTGGTGCTCTCAGAGCCCTAGGGGTGATCCTTGAGCCCCAGGGGTGATCCCTGAGCCCAAGGGTGATCCCTGACCCCAAGGGTGGTCCCTGAGCCCCAATGGTAGTCCCTGACCCCAAGGGTGGTCCCTGACCCCAAGCGTGGTCCCTGAGCCCAAGGGTGATCCCTGACCCCAATGGTAGTCCCTGACCCCAAGGGTGGTCCCTGAGCCCCAATGGTAGTCCCTGAGCCCCAAGGGTGATCCCTGACCCCAATGGTAGTCCCTGACCCCAAGGGTGGTCCCTGAGCCCCAAGGGTGATCCCTGACCCCAAGGGTGGTCCCTGAGCCCAAGGGTGGTCCCTGAGCCCCAGGGGTGATCCCTGACCCCAGGAGTGGTCCCTGAACCCCAGGGGTGATCCCTGACCCCAAGGGTGGTCCCTGAGCCCCGCTGCTGACAGAGGACACAGACCACTCTCTGGCTGCTGCCCCAAACACGGTGCACCAGCCCCTTCGCCTGCCCGGCTGCCACTGCTGAGACACACACCAGCCTGCTCTCGAGGGGAGCAGGAGCACCCACCACCACCTCAGGATGCACAGCAAGGCTGCTCGCTGGCTTTGAAGTCGTGGTGTCAGCTTAGAGAAAAAAACACAGCACTTTGCTTCACCAGTGCTTGAAAAGTTCACTTTCACGCTGAAAACACAGCAGCCTGAATTTCTGATTCTTCATCTTCACAAACATGCATTTTACTGGAGCTAATTCAATCATGAAGCACAGCAGGACACAGATCACCTGTCCCTACATCCATCTTTTCATACATACCTCAATTATACCCCGATACCTCACTGCAGTCACAGCTTCCTCGTGAAGGGAAGTGGAGGGGCAAGCAGTGATCTCTGTGAGGTCCAGGGACAGGACCTGAGGGAATGGCCTTGAGTTGTGCCAGGGAGGTTTAGGTTGGATATTAGAAAGAGGTTTTTCTCCCAGAGGGTGGTTGGCACTGAACAGGCTCCCCAGGGCAGTGGGCACAGCTCCAGGGCTGCCAGAGCTCCAGGGGTGTTCGGACAATGCTCAGGTGTGATTCTTGGGGATGTCCCATGCGGGGGTAAGAGCTGGACTCAGTGATCCTCGTGGGTCCGTTCCATCTCAGATTCTGTGACTGATTTTTTTGCTGCAATCACTCCTCTGGGTTTTTAACAGCTCTGAAGCATCACAAGAATGGCTGCACAAGCCAAAAAACTGCTGGATTATTGCAATACCTATTGCCAACATAAAAATATTAGAGTGTATTAGATCTTTTGATAAAGAAATGAGGTTTTCTAATCTCTCAGTATTGTAATCTTAACTTTACATGCAGTCATGCAAATTGAAGAGGGCAATGCTAAGGTTAGCCAGAAGGCATGATTTGAATCAAGTATGAGCAAATTAATTAAAAAAATGAGGGAAGTGTCTGTATCCCCTAACTAATTACATACAGACTTCATAAAAACAAACTTTAGACTTTTTTTCTAAATGTAGAAAATATGCTTAATACATTTCTGATCAATAGGAACTGCAGATCTAGGCAATAACTCTGTGTGTGTTTAAGCTGTATCTTCTGATTTTTGGTATGTTACTGTAATGCAGATATATGGGTAAATTCACAAGTTAAAAACACTAAAAGAACTGTTATAAAAGGTTTTTGCAATAGTAATCTAATCTGAAAAGAAAATACACTGACATTGAAAACATAAAATGTTATGTATTATCTTGATTCATTTAGATTAATACCAACCCTTAAGCAAAATCCTCGTGAATGTCAGGCACATTTAAAAGGTCCCAAAAAAAGACATTTTAAAAAAAAATCCATATCACTATTCATCTTACAACAAGATCAATACCAGGAGCGTAGGCCTGCAGGAGAACTGCCAAGTTCATAAGGTAGAAATCTGCTCTCTTAACCTCCAATAATCTTTCACTACTTGCTAGTACCTCACCCAGTTCCATCTCCTCATCCCCCAAAACTGCCTCTGCCTTCTTCCAAACAACAGTTTGAAAAAAAAATAAATAAAAAATAACCAAGGTCAAAAGCAAGACGAGTGGTTGTGAAGCCCTGAAACAAGACACAGGAGACAGCATCACCCAGCAAGTCTGCTGTTCTGACCTTGGCATATATTTTTCAAGACTTTGGAAACAAGATCAAGTTTGACTGCTTTCCCCCATGCAGCTCTTTGTTTAACATTTGTCATCCCACAGTTTTCATCTTCCCCAAATTTTTATTTTCAATAAAGTGAGTCACTGTTATCAGGAAGTCTGTGAGAGATCGGACACTGCCTCCGTCTGTTGCCTCGCTCAGGCTGATGCAGAAACAGGATAGCTGGAAGGGGTGCGACTGAACACAGTGGCACAGGATCATGTTATTCTTCTGAATTCATCCAGTTTCTCTACAGAAAGCTGGCCCTCACAAAGAAAAACGAGCTTTTGCTCTGAAGAATACCCTCTTAGCAAATCTTCCTTTCTCTGCCCCACGCAGCCCCCAGCGTTTAACAAGGCAATTCAGGTCTTAAATACAGAGAAGTTCCTATTTTTTTTGTTGCCAGCTAGACAGAGGAGAGGCACACAAATTAATGTCTTTGCTGCAAGAAAGGCTGGCTCATAATTTCCACAGTTATTTACCCTGTTTGGCCAGAGTCGCTGGCCACCGGCCAGACAGTCAACATAGATCAGAGGCAGCTCCGCAGGTGGTAGCTGGGGGACATGAGAGGGAAAGCCGAGGTTATCGTCTCAGAGATGGGATACAATCTCATGGGAATTCTGCAGCTCACCAAACATTTATTTTTTGCTTTTAGCGCTATATCATCAACACCCCAAAACAAGCTGGAACCTTTTTCCTCGTGCATAACCAAATGCAAGTGCTTCCCAAAGGCATCTCGGTGATATTTCTGCAAACCGTTTCAGTGTGGTTCAGATGTCAGTAGACTTAGCTCAGCCTGCAAATCACTGGTCTTTGATTCACAAGAACTTAGGCTATTCATCAGTCCTCCGGGTGAGTCACCTTCAGAAAACAGAAATGGTCAAGCTTGTAGGCATGCTGCTTTCAGAGTGACTTCTCAGAACAGATCCCTTTCCAAAATAAGATCTGATGTGTTTACAGCACATTGATAATTGAGACAGAACACCACTGAAAGATTTACAGATGGAATGTTTTTGAGAAAGGGAGCTTTCTTCAAGTGCCAAGTCCTGTTACGTACTGTTCTTTCCAACCTTCTCTACCATGTCTTTAAAACCTCTGGTTTCCCCTGGGTAGCAGCATTTGATGAACAACTGCATGGCACCAGTGTTGCACTGTTCTCCAGACTTCACGTGTGTGAGACAGTAATGAGCCAGACTGCTCTGTATCCACTGATCTATGGCAGCTGCAGCATAATCAAACACCAGCATTATGTATGTACAAGCTACTCTGTGATTATAGATCCATTAATAAACTGTTTGCAAGATATAATTATGCACATTAGGTGTGAAATGCAGCCCACTTACGCAAGGTCTGTGCTTATGGGCTCTACAAAATTCGGGGGGGAGGGGGAGAAACTGAGCAGATGAATTGACTTCTTTCCCCCAGACTAATTTAATTTCCCTACTACTACATCTGATGGTCCCAACCAGAATATCCTTGCTGAAGTCACCCCACTGGAGACGTGGGGCGCTGCTGATCTGTTCACAGAGCCAGAGTCACATGCAGAAACCATCCTGAAATGCTGTAACTCGCCCCCGGAGCAGCCTTTCATGTCTAGCCCACATACATCAGCATAAAGATCTATCTTATCTCAGGACTCCCAAAACAACCCAAATGAGGGATATGGGCAATGCAGAGGACCATGAGCTATCGGAATTGGTTCATGCCTTTGGAAGCACTTCACGCAGAGATGGATGCAGGGACTCCAGAGGCAACAATGTGCAGCTTTCAGGGCTTGGCCAAGTCCAAAGTTGATACCTAAACATCTTACTTAGCACAGAGAGAGAGATAAGAGCCATACCACAAGAGTCAAACAAAACAATTGTATAATTTTGCATTCTGAGTGGGAAGCTGCCTACCAGTTAAAAAACGCCAAGCACGGCAGGTATGAGGGAGGAAGCAGCACCTCGTGTCTCTTCTCTCAAAACCAGGCTACAGGACAGATGCAGCTCTTCACTCCAGATCCCAAAGCTGAAACCTTTTTCCCAAAAGATGCCTGCAAGTGCTACTTGAAATAAGTGAATGGGACTCTCCCTTATCAAAACACCTCTCCTGCTTCCTTTGTTGTTCCCAAGCATCTGGAGTGCTCAGCAAGGACACAGAAGACCCTTCCCACACTGAAGCTGTTGAAAC